TCCTCTGTGGAACGTTCGACACTGAAACACCTTGTCAAATGAATGATTCAAGCTTCCAGCACGCACGCACGCAAACACACACACACACACACAAAGTGGCAAACGTCTCCTCTGCTGCTACAACAGACTCTTTCACAGATAAACTCTTTCGTCGGCCATCATTTCCTCCCCGGCGACACCCACTGCGCCTCACRCCGCTGCTTTTTATGAGACGCTGTCAGGCCTGTTCTGAGAGAGAGAGAGTGGCTGACCTCGTTCTTTTATTCCTCGTGTTGTGCAGCCATGACAGCAGATAACCATCCAGCTGCCATGTGAGGAGGGAGATAAACGCACAGCACAGATTGGATCAGGGGAGTGAAGAAGAAAAGGAGCTTGCGGTGATCCCGCCTGAATGGCACTCTCCATCTGTATAATTGGYTGAAATTAGGAGTGAGGGCCACCTGCTGATTGTGTCATTTATAGAGCTCTTTTGCATGGAAATTGTGCACGGTGCAGCAGAGAGAGGAGCCTCCCAGAATGAGCACGAACACACTGACACATTATTTTACTTCTGCTTGACTTAGACCCAACAAAGAAAACTCTCCATTCAYTATGAAAGGCTGCAAAARTAAAAACTTCTGCTTATAAACCATCTTTTTTTTCTGTTCTATGTAGTAAAACATCTGCACGAGTTAGTGCATTACATCCACATATAGAGCTGTGTGTGTTTTATCTCGTGGTTTTATTGTGYTTTTGCTGTAAGAATGGCTTAGTGAAGTTGAAAGTCTTTCGTAGTCAAACATGGTTTTGATTTGCCCTTCAGAGTCATTTTACAAGGAGCTCAGAAGCGGCTCTCGTCGTATCCTTCCTGAAAAACACTTTCCAATCTTTTTCCTACATCCCCCTGCTTTTATTGCATCAATTATTTGTATTTTCAGGACACAAGGCAGCTGYTTAGAAGAGCCAATGGCTGCTAATTGTTAGGATATTTGAGGAGATTTTAAAGCTTCAACTCCTTTCCACTCTTTTAGCTGTTAAATGAATGAATTTATTTATTTAGTCGGGACAGTGTGCAATAAAAACATAAACATAA